GGGGGGGGGGTGTCCAGTGCAGGTCTGGGGGCAGGAGGAAGCCATGAGTGTGTTTCATTGGCTTTCTGGGCTGTGGCCTCAGGTGGGAAGAAGCTGGGGAATGCTGCCCCCATTGGTGGCGGAAGGATGCTGCCTCCTGCTGGCCTTGCCACTGCTGTTTGCCTTGGCTTCTGCTAGTTCTATGGGCTCTGAGGTTGGGAAACAGATGAAAAGGGCAACCCCGCCAGGATGCGGAAAAGCCCATATGCAAAGTTCCACAGAACACGTCAATGTCACTTTTGGTCCCCTACACTGCCTGCCCCTTCCCATCAGAGCCTAACCCTTCCAACGAAGATCCTCGCATGGGATCATGGGCAGAGTGAGGTTGTGCAGTGGCAAGGTCGGCCTACAAGGGGGCCTGCACTGCAGGCCTGGTCTCCCACGAAGCTGGGGAGGGAGGGTTTGCCCCAGGCCCCCTCCCTGCCTTCTTAATGGCTTCAGCACAAGTGTACGAGGTGTCACTGGGGTAACACCCCTTTCTTTTCTCAGCTCAGACAGAAATGATGCTCTGAGCTCTCCAGCCTGGAGGGGCACAAAGGCAGCCCCGCCCAGGGACACTGGCGTCCCAAGGTTACAGGGCCCTTGGGCATGTCTTCCCTGGCAGGACTGGGGGTGGAAGTGGGGAGCCCAATACCGGGAGGCCCTCTGGCCATTGCCAGCTCTGGGCAGATGCCAGGCCTTGGCTTCATATGGCAGACTGGTCGGAAATGTCAGGGGTCAGGAGGTGAAAACTAAGATACTGGCCCACACAAAATTCTGGGACATCAAGCTCCAGCACATGATCTAGACAGAAGATACACGTGGGCTCAGAGGGCCTGACTGACGCCGGCACCTGGCGCTGAGCAGGGAAGGACAAGCCAGACCAGGCCTCTGGACCAGGTATTTGGCCTCTCCTCTTCACTGGGAAGAGCTCTGAGCAAGGGTGCCTGACACTCCACCTGCACAGTTCCTCACCTGAGAGCCCATTCACAGGTGGGAGGACAGAAGCTCAGGGGCTCAGTGGTTGGGCGGCTGCCCACCCGTTTCCCCTGCATTCCCTACATCCGTGACGTGGAGGGAGTCAGGGCACAGCCTCTGACCCCCAGATACCTTGACAGCGTCCTGCCAGGCCTTAGCAGGAACCGCGGTGAGGGAGCCCCACTGCCTGTCCTCATGCCTGTCAGGAACGGAGTGCCACCTGCCCCGCCTCTACCCAGGGACCCCGGCCACACCTCCCTACCTGTGAGGGGTGAAGGTAGGGCTCTGGCGACGCCAGGTTGGTCTGCACAGAGATGCTCTTCTCCAGTAGGATCTGGGGGAAAGCGAGCCTCTCTAAGGCGCCCCTCTGCCAGTGCTTGCTCTCCTGCTGGGCCAGAGCCTCATCCTCACTGAAGGCGCGCACCACAGGCCCAGGCATGGGCAGAGGCACTGCCCCATCGCTCTCATAGCCTGAGCCGTCCTGCTGGGAGTCCCAGCTGCCTCTCTGCTTCGTGTGAAAGCGGGCCTGCTGTGCCTCCCAGGCCAGCCGGGCCTGCGCCAGAAAGGGCTCAGCCTCGCCAGTCTTGCCCTCTGCACGTTTCACTGGGGCCAGGCCGGGCCCACACAGGGGCCGCTCCTCAGCCGGGGGCTGCTCAGCGAGGAGGTCACGGTCCCCGGGGACTTCGGTGGATGAGGCGCTGGGGACATGGCACAGAGAGGGGTTCCTGCTCTTCCTCTTGCGGGTGCCCGGGGAGTAGCCTGTTGAGGACATGGTGTCCTGCTGGCTGGACCAGGACATAGCATCGTCTTGATGCCGCAGCTCAGGCCCCTCCATGCTGCTGTAGTCCCCAGAGGAGACCCCCAGGCGCTGATCCCGCAGCAGGCAGGGGCTGGGCTGCAGGGGCAGTGAGCCACCCCCGGGATTGGGTGCATACTTGTTCCTTGGGCCTGCACGCAGCTTGGGGCTTGAGCTGGCCTGCTCCACGTACACCAGCTGCCGCACGTATTCCTTGCCTGCAGGGCTATACTCCAGGCTCAGGAAACGCTCGGGGCACTTCTGCCTGGTCAGCACCAGCTGCTGGTAGGGTGAGGCGGAGCCCTGCTTGGGTGACTGTGGGAAGGGTGCTGGTTTGCGGCCTGGAGACCGCTGGGGTGAGCCAGCTTGATAGCCCCCGCCAGCCTCGTACTGGACGTCCATGGGCGGCTCATCATAGATAGGAGCCTGGTACTCCACGGGAGGCTCCTCGTAGAGGGGGGGCTCATAGGCGTAGCGTGGGGAGGAGGGCTGCGAGTCGCTGGTAGGCTTGCGTGGCTGGGCCAGCAGCGGGGAGCAGCTCCCCAGCTCGGCCCTCTTCAGGAAGGGTGATGGCCTCCGCTCAGGGAAGAAGACGGGGCCATCAGATTCTGAGGCAAACGTCTGCAGGCTGGGTGAGTGCTGCCCACCAGAGGGTCTGCGGGAGCGGCCGCCAGACTGGCTGTCTAGGGCATAGCCATTGCCCTGGGAGGAGAGGAAGCTGGGCTCCCGGTCCGCAACTTTGATGAGCATACGCTCCTTGGTGCCTGAGTTCCACCGAAGTG